GGGGGAGAAAATCCAGGCTCTTCTCTCTGAATTAGCAATAACTTGGTATTATATCTGGGAGAAACAGTTAAAAGTGTTTTTCTCTCGCTCTGAGACACTCAGGAAAAACGTGATGCAACACTGTAGATTTTATGTGCTTTCTTTCCATCTGCCACAATTCCCCCTTTGCTTTCATTTGTTACTTACTTATTACCATATTTCATTCCCTGGGTGTGTCTCTATACTGTTTACCTCAAGGACAGATAGCTGGAATCACTCTGCCAAGGCTTCCCCTTCTGTCCACTCCCAGCAAGAAGGAAAGACAAGTAGTGATGGGACCATCCTACGTGTCACCAACAGGGCAGCACTTACAGTCAGTCCTAGTTAAGGACACATGAGGGGCGTCACTGTCAAGTCCATTGTGTTTTTTACCAAGATGCCAGTCAAATTCAGAGAAATTGAACTAGTTTTCTGAGTATCAATGCCTCCCTTTGCTGGGATATGGTAGTGTAGTCTTGAACACAATACAGGTGAATCTGGCAAGATAAAATAAATTTTCTGTTCCAACTAAAATTGGACATTAGCATGGCCCCTGTGCAAGTACGACAGGCAAATTTGTGAAGCATTCCATATTAAAGAAAAGAAAATAAAAGAAGAGAAGGGAAGAGAAGAGAAGAAAAGAGAAGAGAAGAGAAAAGAAAGAAAAGAAAAAAAATTTCTGTTGGAGTTGTGTGATTGCATCATCACTGTTATCTTTACCCCTACATTCACATAGGAACTACCCCCCAATGGTTTTTCTATGTTAGATTGACCCAGTCATGGCAGCCAGTTCTTCATTCCCTTAGCATAACCAGTCTTTATCAACATATATTTTGATTACCCATTCCAGGTATTTTTCAAACTGCTGCTATATTTGTGATATGGAATTTGGTAAGTCCATATGATGTTATGTCTCTTAGCTCATTTTTGTACACAGGCAACAGTGAAAACTATACTTTGATTGATAAAATGTAACTTAGGAGACTGAGTTTATTCACGTTGTATTGTTCCAAATCTTTAATAGTATCCTCAGCCATAGTTACACCCAAAGGATAAGCAAAGTCAAAGTCTAATATGTGGTTATTCTAGTCAGGACCCAGTTGAAGCCACCTGGGCTACCAGTAAGGGTCCAGTGTTGTCAACTGCTATTCCCTGCCCTTGAGGAATCTTACCCAAAGTCATCTTTTGGAAATTCTTTTCCCATTCACAATCTGGATAGCATATTATCACATCAGTAATTTCCGTAAAGGAGGATGTCATTGTTCCATCCAATATTTATAGCTCAAGTAAAAATATCCCCATTTATTTTATGTACCCAAGGAGATAACATCCAAGGAATAGACCAATGCATCAGTCTTTGTATTCTAACCCCATATGAGCCAGCAGCCAGGTTTTATCTGGTAGTTATTGATATGACCCATTGTAATTCTTCCACAGAATTTCCACATATTTCCATAATTTAATTCTCCTCACAGTGGTATTTGTAATTGTCCAATTCTAAAGTGTTACTTTAGTAGGATAAAAGTCATAGGCTCACCCTTTTTAACAAGAAACTAAGAATTCTTCTGGTGGTTCTGTCCTCTATTCCAAAGGTGGGGCTGTATCCTGTTCATGGATACCATGTACTTTCCCAGAGTCACATCTAGTTACTATTCCATTTCTATGTTATCCATCATTGGATCTGATCCATCATTATTGGAATAGCTCTCTGACATTACCTATAATATAATGGATATTTGATGTCTTTCAGTGATGGGAGCTATTTCTATCAAAGCCCAATTTCAGGACAACAAAGATCTCTTGGAGTGACTACATCTAGCTATTGCCATCAGGTTACTTGCAGGTCCAAATATCTCAGTAGTCACCAAGTGAGAGCAGTTATAGACTTCTTCCTGAGAACTTAGTCTGCATATGTCTGCATAGTAGATATTTTCAAAATAATTCATGTGACAACATTACATGGACTTGATTTTGCTACTTGAGCTATAGCTCTTCCTTTGTAAATATATCAAAGTCTCTTTTGTTCCAGATCCCATTCAAACTCAGATTTCTCTTTGGTCACTTGATATATAAAGGATAATAACATCTTAGGTACAACATATGTACCCTCCAAGATTCAAATAACCTTAAAAGCCATTGAGCCTCATTCTAAGTAGTAAGTCCTGGCATATATTATGTACTGTCTTTGGAAAGTCTCTTCTGATTACAGCCCATGTTTTTCACTCAAAATTGAACTGAATAAACTATCACAATTCTCATTTTTTCCCTGGCTTTCTTTTCCTTTAGAGAAGCTATCATGGTAGTAGCATCGTTATGAAGCAACTGACTTTTGATAATGATCAAGTATAAATCTTGTCTTATTAGGTTATGACAGTATTCTAGAGAATATAAGTATCTTTGAGGGAGGATAGAGAATGTGTACTGTTGTTAGTCCCATGAGGACGTAAACTAATCCTGGCTTTCTTTTGATATGGGAATGGAAAACAAATTGTATAATATTGTATATTATATGTATATACTAGATAGACACATACATACATAATTATTGGTCTCAATTCTTCACTCTCTTCTGCAGTCACACACTTGCCATGACCTCACTGGGAGAGAGGGGTGAATTTTTCAGCCCCTTGGTTTTGGTTTGCCCATATAACTCGCTTTGGCCAATGGCAAGTGGGCAGAAGTGATGATGTGTTAGTTGTACTCTTAGGCTTTAAGGGACATTGCATGGCTCCCCTTGCCTTCTTGCAATTCTGCCACACAACAGGAAGAGCTGTCCCTATGAAACTACTGTCTTATCAGTTTCAGAATGCACAGATATGGAGTGGAACAGCCCTAGCCAACATACCCCGGCAGCCATAGCCTGAAGTATAAACTTTCAGCTGATCCCAAGCTGGGATAACCAACCTTTAGCCAGACTCAGACACAGATGATAATAAGTGATTCTTATTGAAGGCACTAAAGTTTGACATGGCTTCTTAGGCAGAGAGAGTTAACCAAAAATTAAGTACTGATAGGTCAAATTTCTTATATCTCTCATTTAAAATATCTAATTAAGTACTTAATTTGAACTTGTGGATTTAAGTTGAAACCTTAATACATTTTCATCATATATTTGGAAATTTAGAATAACTTTAGGTTCACTATGATTCTAAGATCAAGATACTAGATCTGTAAGAATCTTTCAATACTCAGGAAGGTTTAGTCAAACAATAGAATTGATAAAATCAGAAATTAAATATATTAAATTTGAGATGAAGTTTTAAAAATTTGGAAGTCTTGACTCATTAAATTTTTAGATAAAATCAAAACATTTTTCAAATATCTTTTAAAAAGGGGCTGGTATTATCGATTAAAGCTAAACATGTACACACTCCATGACACAGCAATTCTGTCCTAGATATATATCCAACAGAAATGTTTCCATATGTTCTACAAAGGCATATGCTGGAATGTTTGTAGTAACACTATTTGTAATAGTGCCAAACTGGAAACTACCCAGCTGCCCATCAAAGGTAGAATAGATGAGAATGAATAATCTTTATCATTGTGCAATAATATAAATCAAATATATTATCATATTAAAATCAGACTCAGAAGAATAAATAGTGCATAATACTATTTATGTGAGGGATAAATAAGAACAAGACCAATCTACCCAATTAGAAGTCAGAATAGTGGGTATCCTAGGTATGATCGTAGATAATGTTGCAGTTAAAGGTCTGAACGGTGGATATCCTAGATAACTAGACCTGGCATAAACGGGACTTATTTGATGCTGGTGATGTTCTATTTTTAATGTGAGTTCTAATTTCATGGATTTGTAAAGTTTGTAAAAATAAATCCAGCTATATATTGTACTTTTGAACCATGCACTTTTTATGTGTATATGGTACTTTAACAAAATATTTTTTATTAAAGTTTAAAAAGTTTTTCTTAATTTAACCATTTTAGACTTACTAATAAGATTTTTTAGCAAACTTTTTAATCTAAATGAGGAACTAGATACAAAACTTCCTGATCTATGAGATACATATTACAGTGTCTCTCCAGCTCAGTTAATCCAACAGTAGCCATGTCCATGATTAACTTTCTTCTAATAATAATAAATCACTCTTCCTGGGCAGACATGACCTAAGATGGGCTGATCATACTTCCTTGCTCTTCTTGGTAAAGTAATTATTCCTGGGGGAGGGAGGTTAGGTGTATGACTTGAGCTGGATCAATTGCAGTCATTTTGGGGGAGTATTTCACAATGAAACTAGAAAAGAAAAGTCCTTTCTTTTCAGGTCACAAGACTGAATGAATGTCAGCCTGCTGAAGCTTGGACTCAAAAGATGAAGGATTTATCAAGATTGCTAGCGTGAGAGAATGACAGCAATACACAGAAAGAAGGAATCAAAAGGCTGTGGTGTATGTGTGTGTGTATGTGTGTGTGTGAAAGAGAGAAAGAGAGAAAGAATAGCTTTTGAATCCCTAGATTCAACAATTCCTGAGGCCAATTCAATTCAATCCCAGCCTTTTCTATTGTTGGATTGCTTGATCCAGTACTATAGTCCTCTTTTTTATTCATGTGGTTCAGGTTGAGTTTTGTCACTTGAAATTAAAATAGTTGTAATTGACAGAGTAATCAAACTATGGTCCCTCTCAGTTTTAGTCCTCTGGAACTCATTAATATTAATTGCCACATCCTTGAAGAAGTGTTCAGATATTCAAATAAAAATGGCTTTAGGTTAAAGGATACAATGTTAACTGGGGCCCAAAGAGAATAAAATCAAGCACGTTAGAAGTAACATAAGAAAGCAAAATTAAGATGACTTGGGTGAAGATCAGAAGATGCTGACAAGTCATATTAAAATAAGCTTTGCCAGAATCACATGCACATACCACACACACACATATGCACACACTCAAGTTAGACTCGGTTTTTACAAAGAGAAACTTTAATTTTTCACAGATACAGAACATAATTTTAAAATAAATTATAATTTTTTTTTACAATTAATGACTTTAAATGGTCCTGTTCCTCTTTGTAGGTATTATGATCTTGTATGTGTAACTTCATTCCAGACTTAAATAAAATACCCCCCTCAGGTTCAACTACTTCTCTTTTTCCTATGTTTTCTCATCTCACACTGTTTACTCTTCTATGATGAGATTAAAAACTTTTTAATATGCAAAGCATTCACTTATTTTCTTTACTTACACCTGATCATTTCTTTCCTCTGACCTCTTAGTAAAGAGAAACAAAGTATTCTTGATGGATTATTTGGGGAAAATCAACCAATAGGAAGAAGAAACATTGGGCTACAGGAGGTCTAAGCCAACCCTGACTTTGGGAATGCATGCACAATGAGGAAGAGAAGGAATAGAAAAACCAATATGGCAGAGTCAGGACAGCAAAAGTAGTAATGTGAGAGTTTCCCAGGAGTTTGTGAGTGAGAGAGAACTAGAGATGATATGATACTCTGATTTCCCACAAGCTAAAATAAGATTTGAGTTTAGACTGATACTTCTGTCTGATCTTTGATTGGAACAGTGCAGTGTGTACTATGCACAGGCTGATAAGAGAAAATACACATAACACTAAAATCTGAGGCCATAAACAGGAAAGGCACACACCTCTACCCAGAACTGACCACACTGCATTAAGAGGGACTTTGACAAGGGAGAGGCATTGAAAAGTCAAGTCAATAATGGTGGAAGTATAAGGTCTAAAGGAAGAACTGATAATCAAAGATCACATCTGATCAGAAACAATGCTGAGCCAATCCCATCCTGGGTCCCAAGCAGCAAAGCCCATTTTAACAGAAGAGGGCAAGGATACTGCTTGGGATGTTCAGACAGTGGGAATGACAGAGGTCAATCATTTCAAATATTTCATTTTAAAATAAGACAAGGGGGATGAGAAGTAGTATAGATCCTCTAGGATGTACCCAAACCGGAAGTAGCCATGTAGCTGACACCTTCAAGCTTCTACACCTCAAAAACCTCTACTTGTTTCCTCAAGAGGCAAATCCTCTACGAAGTCATCTGCAGCCCACAGCATCTGTCTCAATGCAGAGAGGTTCAGAACGTCCATGACAGGCTCCAGCTCCCACTCTGACGTATAATTACTAACCACAAAGATGTCAGAAGAACAAATCCAAGTTCTCTGTGAACTGCCTCTAGCTGCAATACAGAATTTAAAACCCAGAAATCTTAAAACAGTGGAAAATACAATTTTATGTTGATATAAATTGTGAAAGTAATATCAAAAAGTAGGAGCTTGGCAATACTTGTCCTGTTGGAGAATGTGGAGACAGAGATCTGGCCCCATAAAGGAATTTCTTCAAGAACTTCGCAAGTCAAGTTCTAATATCACTGCTAATTTTCATTTAGAACACACATAATAGATTCAATATGAGTTACAAACTAAAGATAACTAATAGATCCATACAAACTACTCTGAAATTGAAGAATTTTTAATACCCTTATATTAGAATCTATCATTTCCTTCAGCTTCCTTTTAAAGGTTATTCTCAGGATAAGTCTATTTTACTAGACTAGTTTAATGTTGATGTTTAATTCATGCTTAGACTAGTTTATTTGTGGAACCACACTGCCTGGGTTCAAAGTAGGGCTTTGTCACTTCCTAACATTGTCAGTAAACTGGCAAATGCTTTACTCTGTGTGTTTTTGTTTATTTATCTATCAAATGTGGTAATGACAGTATCCATCTCATAAGGCTGTTATAAGTATTGAATAAGAAAATCTATCACAGAGAGTGGCATGGACATATATACACTACCAAACGTAAAATAGATAGCCAATGGGAAGCAGCTGCATAGCACAGGGAGATCACCTCGGTGCTTTGTGACCACTAAAGGGGTAGGATAGGGAGGGTGGGAAGGAGGGAAATGCAAGAGGGAAGAGATATGGGAACATATGTATATGTATAACTGATTCACTTTGTTATAAAGCAGAAACTAACACACCATTGTAAAGCAATTATACTCCAATAAAGATGTAAAAAAAAAAAAGAAAATCTATCACATATTTAGTGCTCAACAAATATTAGCTATCATTATATCCTCCCAATTGTTGTTTCCACCTCCAGGTTCTTTTTGACTCCAGTCTATTGTGCACATGGGCAGCAGATTAATTTTTGTGAAGCTTAACTTTGGTCACATCATTACTCTTTCAAAAAACATTGCTGTGATTCCACATAATGCACCTAATTAATAAAACCACTTCATGCAAATGTAACTTTCTCACTTTCTCTCTCCCTCCAAAGATCCAGCCCTCCGCTAAACTAAATGACTCCATGCTTCCCATACATGCTGCCTTTTCCTTCATTGATGTATTGATTTATGTTGCCCCTAGGGCCTCAATATTTTCGCCTTTTTGTCCCTTCACTTACTGAAGTAGTCCTCCTCCTTGAAAGCCATTTCCCAGTACCACCCCAGTAATGAAATCTTCCCCCATCCACTTTAATACAATTTTTTCCTTGTCTAAATTTTCAAAGCATATTATTTTTAATCATTTCTATTTATCATACTTGAGAAAGAAAAACGGAGCTGGAGGAATCAGGCTCCCAGACTTCCGACTGTACTACAAAGCTACAGTAATCAAGACAGTATGGTACTGGCACAAAAACAGAAATATAGATCAAAGGACAGGATAGAAAGCCCAGAGATAAACCCACCCACATATGGTCACCTTATCTTTGATAAAGGAGGCAAGAATATACAATAGAGAAAAGACAGCCTCTTCAATAAGTAGTGCTGGGAAAACTGGACAGCTACATGTAAAAGAATGAAATTAGAATACTCCACAAGACCATACACAAAAATAAACTCAAAATGGATTATAGACCTAAATGTAAGTCCAGACACTATCAAACACTCAGAGAAAAACATAGGCAGAACACTCTATGACATAAATCATGCAAGATCCTTTTTGACCCACCTCCTAGAGAAATGGAAGTAAAAACAAAAGTAAACAAATGGGACCTAATGAAACCTAAAAGCTTTTGCACAGCAAAGGAAACCACAAACAAGACCAAAAGACAACCCTTAGAATGGGAGAAAATATTTGCAAATGAAGCAACTGACAAAGGATCAATCTCCAAAAATTACAAGCAGCTCATGGAGCTCAATATCAAAAAAACAAACAACCCAATCCAAAAATGGGCAGAAGGCCTAAATAGACATTTCTCCGATGAAGATACACAGATTGCCAACTAACACATGAAAGAATGCTCAACATCATTAATCATTAGAGAAATGCAAATCAAAACTACAATGCGATATCATCTCACATCAGACAGAATGGGCATCATCAAAAAATCTACAAACAATAAATGCTGGAGAGGGTGTGGAGAAAAGTGAACCCTCATACACTGTTAGTGGCAATGTAAATTGATACAGCCACTATGGAGAACAGTATGGAGGTTCCTTAAAAAACTAAAAATAGAACTACCATATGACCCAGCAATCCCACTACTGGGCACATACCCTGAGAAAACCATAATTCAAAAAGAGTCATGTACTACAATGTTCATTGCAGCTCTATTTACAATAGCCAGGACATGGAAGCAACCTAAGTGTCCATTGACAGATGAATGGATAAAGAAGATGTGGCACATATATACAATGGAATATTACCCAGCCATAAAAAGAAACGAAACTGAGTTATTTGTAGTGAGGTGGATGGACATAGAGTCTCTCATACAGAGTGAAGTAAGTCAGAAAGAGAAAAACAAATACCGTATATTAACACATATATATGGAATCTAAAAAAAAAAAAAATGGTCATGAAGAACTTAGGGGCAAGACAGGAATAAAGATGCATACCTACTAGAGAATGGACTTAAGGACACGGGGAGAGGGAAGGGTAAGCTGGGACAAAGTGAGAGAGTGGTAGTGTATATATAGATATATATACACTACCAAATGTAAAATAGATAGCTAGTGGGAAGCAGACACATAGCACAGGGAGATCAGCTAGGTGGTTTGTGACCACCTAGAGGGGTGGGATAGGGTGTGTGGGAGGAAGGGAGACGCAAGAGGGAAGAGATATGGGGATATGTGTATAGCTGATTCACTTTGTTATAAAGCAGAAACTAACTCACCATTGTAAAGCAATTATACTCCAATTAAAACGTTTAAAAAAATGTAATTATGTATTCTGTTCTTGTCACCCTTTTAATAAACCTAGCATGTCCCTTCAACAAAATAAAAGAAATAAAAAAGGAAAAGAGGCTGGATAGATTTATTTGAATAATTTTTTGAACAAACTGTTATAAAAGGTGTATGATACTTAAAAGAGAACTAGAAATGGGTAATATTTGATACATTAAGAGCAGCTATTACTTTTAAATGTGATAAGCATATCATGTCTATGTTTAATAAAAGACACATATGACCTTATGTGTATATATATTTAATTTAAATATATATATATTTAAATGCATATTCATTTATGGATGAAATATTATAACTTCTCAGATCTTCTTCCAAATAATACAGGAGAGGAGAAAGTGGGTAGGCACAGATGAAACAAGATTGGCTATAAATAAAAAATTGTTGAAGCTATGTAAATGCAAATTCATTAAATTGTTTTGTCCACTTTTGCATAGGTTTAACATTCTCTAAATAAATATTTCTTTTAAAGAATATTTTAAAATAAACTTAACTACCTCTACAAGATAACTTTAAAGAATGAAAGAAGTTTGCATGAATATAAAAATAAAGCACGCTCTGTTTCTGGATAAAAACACTGGATATGTAAAGATGTATATCAACACTTAATATATAATTTTAATGTAATTTCAATCAAAGCACCAACAAGTCAAACACAAATACAAACAATCAAATAAAACACTAACAAGTTCATTTAGAAAAGGAAAAGTATATGTATAAAATAGTCCAAAACATGTGAGAAATGAATAATGAATATGACATCCAGTTGGTTATCAAGACATAACTGATTGCTATGGCAATTAAAACAATTAGACAATATGGTAATAAAAGCAATATTATAAAGGAATTGAAAAATACATTAATAGGACAAACTATAGATTGCAAAACTAAATACCCATATTTAGAAGGGAAAGATACAACTTTCAATAAAATATGTTAGCACATTCGCCTATTCATTTGGAACAAGGTGAATTAATAATCAACTTAAGATCTAAATGTTTATAAAAAGGAACCAGAAAGTTTTTTTAAAAGGCAGACTAAAGTAGCTTTTATCTTTCATCTCTTCCTTCCTCTTGCCTGGAATACCAACAGTGCTCAGCATGAACATCTTGAGAATATAAAGATGAAAACCACATGTCTTAGCTTGGGCTGCTATAACAAGTTACCGTATTGGTTTACTTAAACAACAAACTTTTATTTCTCATTGTTCTGGAAGCTAGGAAATCCAAGATCAAGGTGCTGGTAAATTTTGTGTGTGGTTAGACCCTGGTGTGTAGACAGCCACCTTCTTGCTGTGTCCTCATATGGCTGCAAGAGAGGTCATCTCTCTTGTGTTCTTTCTCACAAGGGCACTAATTGCATTCATGAGGGCTTCACCATCATGACCTAATCACCTCCCAAACTTGCTCTGTCTCCAAACATCATCACACTATGGATTAAGGCTTCAACATGTGAATGGAGGGTGGGGGGCAAACATTACATCCATAGCCTTATGCTGAGGATCTCAGAACAGAAAGTCAGAAGGACACATGAAATTAATAACCTTCCACACTTGCCCAAAGCGGCCTACCTTCAAACTTTCTGTTACATAAGAAAAATCACCCTTGTGAGGAAATTGATGTAGTTAGACTTCTGTTTCACATAGCCAAAAGCAATTGAATGTATAACAACATTCAGAGTTGTTATAACAACTATGAGAGAAGAACCCTATGGATGTTTTAATTCTTTATAAAATAAAATATCAAAAAGCAGAAAAATATCTTGAACAAGTGTAGTTTAATAAAATAAATGCCAGTGCACTAGAGTCTAATATTGTCGATAGTGGGCAAAAATAAACATTTCAAGTATCAATTATACTTTCTCAATAATTAGCCAAATCTTACCTGGTATCTGTCAGGAATTCAGCCTTCTAAGATATAGGGTATGTCATCCATGCACAGCCCTTCTTCTTTCTCACTCAGCCCCATTGAGTCACACAGAATAAATGGCCGGGTGTTGCCATCCTTCCCATCCTTAATGAAATATGTTCTGTACTGCAGAGGAAAACAAAAGTAACTTTAAAAGTTCATTTTCTAAAAAACTGTGAATTGAAATGAAGTCTACATGTAATGAAATTGATCAGCAAAAGACTTTTCAAATATAATTAACTTGAACAAAGAAGCAAAGGCTGAGTGACCTAGAACAGACTCACGTTTTCAGATACCCCAGTTGTCTTAGACCCCACCAAGGCCTAGTTTGTTACACGGCCTCGGAAAACAGACTTCACTGAGTTGAAAAAGCTAGACTTCCCAGCTCCAATTGGACCCAAAAGCAGAATTCGTATTTGGTGAACCAGGCCTCCATATGGTTCGGAAGTTCTTATAGCAGACAATAAGTTCTCCTTGAGCCTGTTTAGACAAGACAAGTTTAACAGTTGACTAAGGTTAGGTCACAAGACTCTACCATAAATTTTCCTAGAATTCAGTCTTTTTTCTCATATGTTATTATTTATTTTTGATTAGTATCTTGTATAAAAAGACACGAAAATATCTTATCTCAAATCCTATTGTAAAAGAAGTAAGAGTAACAGTTTTAACTAAAGACAATCAGACATAAAACCTTTCAGATTTAAGCATATATAAACCTTGGAATAAACAGCAATTATGTTAAACATGAAAATAAATTATCAATAATAAACTTCAAAAACCACAACATAATATGTGACTTTTGAGGTTTATAGAAGTAGAAAATTTCTAACATGTTCTTGAAGTTCATGATAGGTATTCCCCACCTGCCAACCACCCCTGCCCTGAAGTAGTTGAAACCAGCCATAGCTGTAAGAATTCTAAGCAAAAGTGTAGACATTCAGCCAAATAATTATTTCCATTCAAGTATATAAAAACATTAGAAATGTCTTTCATCCACTCAGTGCTATTTTTGTTTTAACATTACTATTATGAAATATTTTATGATTATAAATATAACTTGTTCTTGGTGATCCACAAGTTACCTGCTATAATTTGCACTACGAATTTTATTGACAAAACCTATAGTAGAGAGGGGGGACCTTGAAGATGGCGGAAGAGTAAGACGCAGAGATCACCTTCCTCCCCACAGATACACCAGAAATACATCTACACGTGGAACAACTCCTACAGAACACCTACTGAAGGCTGGCAGAAGACCTCAGACCTCCCAAAAGGCAAGAAACTCCCCATGTACCTGGGTAGGGCAAAGGAAAAAAAGAAAAAACAGACAAAAGAATAGGGACGGCACCTGCACCAGTGGGAGGGAGCTGTGAAGGAGGAAAAGTTTCCACACGCTAGAAGCCCCTTCGCGGGCGGAGACTGCGGGAGGCGGAGCGGGGAGCTTCGGGGCCGCGGAGGAGAGCACAGCAACAGGGCTGCGGAGGGCAAAGCGCGGAGATTCCCGCACAGAGAATCGGTGCCAACCGGCACTCACCAGCCCGAGAGGCTTGTCTGCTCACCCGCCGGGGCGGGCAGGGCTGCGAGCTGAGGTTCGGGTTTCGGTTTCAGACAGAGCGCAGGGAGAGGACTGGGGTTGGCGGCTTGAACATAGCCTGAAGGGGTTAGTGCACCACGGCTAGCCGGGAGGGAGTCCGGGGGAAAGTCTGCACATGCCGAAGAGGCAAGAGACTTTTTCTTCCCTCTTTGTTTCCTGGTGCGCGAGGAGAGGGGTTTAAGAGCGCTGCTTAAAGGAACCCCAGAGACGGGCGCGAGCCGCGGCTGAAAGCACGGACCCCAGAGACGGGCGGGAGACGCTGGGGCTGCTGCTGCCGCCACCAAGGGGCCTGTGTGCGAGCACAGGTCACTCTCCACACCCCTCTTCCGCGGATCCTGTGCAGCCCGCCACTGCCGGGTTCCCGGGATCCAGGGACAACTTCCCCGGGAGAACGCACGGCGGGCCTCGGGCTGGTGCGGCGTCACGCCAGCCTCTGCCGCCGCAGGCCCGCCCCGCACGCAGTGCCCCTCCCTCCCTCCCCCCCGCCCCGGCCTGAGTGCGCCAGAGCCCCCGAATCAGCGGCTCCTTTAACCCTGTTCTGTCTGAGCAAAAAACAGACGCCCTCCAGCGACCTACACGCAGAGGCAGGGCCAAATCCAAAGCGGAGCCCCGGTGAGCTGTGAGAACAAAGAAGACAAAGGGAAATCTCTCCCAGCAGCCTCAGAAGCAGCGGATTAAAGCTCCACAATCAACTCAATATACCCTCATCTGTGGAATACCTGAACAGACAAGGAATGATCCCAAATTGAGGAGGTGGACTTTAGGAGCAAGATCTATGATTTTTTTCCCTTTTCCTCTTTTTGTGAATGTGTATGTGTATGCTTCTGTGTGAGATCTTGTCTGTATAGTCTTGCTTCCACCATTTGTCCTAGGGTTCTATCCGTCCATGGTTTTTTTTAAAAAATTTTTTTAATAATTAATTTTAATTTTAATAACTTTATTATACTTTACCTTCTTTCTTTCTTTCTTTCTTTCCTTCCTTCCTTCCTTCCCTCCTTTAGACAACGAATCACCCCAAATTGAGGAGGTGGTCTTTGACAGCAAGATTTATGATTTTTTCCCCCTTTACCTCTTTTTGTGAGGGTGTATGTGTATGCTTCTGTGTAAGATTTTGTCTGTATAGCTTTGCTTCCAACATTTGTCCTAAGGTTCTATCCGTCCCTTTTTTTTTTTTCTAAATAAGTATTTTTTAATTCAATAACTTTACTATACTTTATTTTATTTTTACTGTATCGTCTTTCTTTCTGTCTTTTTTCCTTCTTTCCCTCCTTCCTTTCTTCCTGCCTCCCTCCCTCCCTCCTTTCTTTCCTTCTTGCCTTCTTTCCTTCTTTGCTTCTTTCTTTCTTCCTTCCTTCCTTCCTTCCTTCCCTCCTTTCCTTCTTTCTTTCCTCATACTTCTACTAATTTCCTCTACTTTTTCTCCCTTTTATTCTGAGCCGTGTGGATGAAAGGCTCTTGGTGCTCCAGCCAGGAGTCAGGGCTCTGCCTCTGAGGTAGGAGAGCCAACTTCTGGACATTGGTCAACAAGAGACCTCCCAGCTCCACATAATATCAAACAGTGAAAATCTCCCAGAGACCTCCATCTTAACACCAGCACCCAGCTTCACTCAACGACCAGCAAGCCACAGTGCTGGACAACCTATGCCAAACAACTAGCAAAACAGGAACACAACCCCACCCATTAGCAGAGAGGCTGCCTAAAATCATAATAAGGCCACAGACACCCCAAAACACACCACCAGACGTGAACCTGCCCACTAGAGAGACAAGATCCAGCCTCATCCACCACAACACAGGCACTAGTCCCCTCCACCAGGAAGCCTACACAACCCACTGAACCAACCTTAGCCACTGGAGACAGACATCAAAAACAGCGGGAACTACGAACCTGCAGTCTGCAAAAAGGAGACCCCAAACACAGTAAGATAAGCAAAATGAGAAGACAGAAAAACACACAGCAGATAAAGGAGCAAGATAAAAATGCACCAGACCTAACAAATGAAGAGGAAATAGGCAGTCTACCTGAAAGAGAATTCAGAATAATGATAGTAAGGTTGATCCGAAATCTTGGAGATAGAATGGACAATAGATTGGACAAAATGCAAGAATCAGTTAACAAGGACCTAGAAGAACTAAAGATGAAACAAGCAACGATGAACAACACAATAAATGAAATTAAAAGTACTCTAGATGGGATCAATAGCAGAATAACTGAGGCAGAAGAACGGATAAGTGACCTGGAAGATAAAATAGTGGAAATAACTACTGCAGAGCAGAATAAAGAAAAAAGAATGAAAAGAACTGAGGACAGTCTCAGAGACCTCTGGGACAACATTAAACACACCAACATTCGAATTATAAGGGTTCCAGAAGAGGAAGAGAAAAAGAAAGGGACTGAGAAAATATTTGAAGGGATTATAGTTGAAAACTTCCCTAATATGGGAAAGGAAATAGTTAGTCAAGTCCAGGAAGCACAGCGAGTCCCATACAGGATAAATCCAAGGAGAAATATGCCAAGACACATATTAATCAAACTGTCAAAAATTAAATACAAAGAAAGCATATTAAAAGCAGCAAGGGAAAAAAACCAAATAACACACAAGGGAATCCCCATAAGGTTAACAGCTGATCTCTCAGCAGAAACCCTACAAGCCAGAAGGGAGTGGCAGGACATACTGAAAGTGATGAAGGAGAAAAACCTGCAACCAAGACTACTCTACCCAGCAAGGATCTCATTCAGATTTGATGGAGAAATTAAAACCTTTACAGACAAGCAAAAGCTGAGAGAGTTCAGCACCACCAAACCAGCTTTACAACAAATGCTAAAGAAACTTCTCTAGACAAGAAACACAAGAGAAGAAAAGACCTATAATAACGAACCCAAAACAATTTAGAAAATAGGAATAGGAACATACATATCGATAATTACCTTAAATGTAAATGGACTAAATGCTCCCACCAAAAGACACAGATTGGCTGAATGGATACAAAAACAAGACCCTTACATATGCTGTCTACAAGAGACCCACTTCAGACCTAGAGACACATACAGACTGAAAGTAAGGGGATGGAAAAAGATATTCCATGCAAATGGAAACCAAAAGAAAGCTGGAGTAGCAATTCTCATATCAGACAAAATAGACTTTAAAGTAAGGACTATTAAAAGAGACAAAGAAGGACACTACATAATGATCAAGGGATCGATCCAAGAAGAAGATATAACAACTGTAAATATTTATGCACCCAACATAGGAGCACCTCAATACATAAGGCAAATACTAACAGCCATAAAAGGGGAAATCGACAGTAACACATTCATAGTAGGGGACTTTAACACCCCACTTTCACCAATGGACAGATCATTCAAAATGAAAATAAATAAGGAAACACAAGCTTTAAATGATACATTAAACAAGATGAACTTAATTGATATTTATAGGACACTCCATCCAAAAACAACAGAATACACATTTTTCTCAAGTGCTCATGGAACATTCTCCAGGATAGATCATATCTTGGGTCACAAATCAAGCCTTGGTAAATTTAAGAAAATTGAAATTGTATCAAGTATCTTTTCTGACCACAACGCCATGAGACTAGATATCAATTACAGGAAAAGATCTGTAAAAAATACAAACACATGGAGGTTAAACAATACACTACTTAATAACGAAGTGATCACTGAAGAAATCAAAGAGGAAATAAAAACATACCTAGAAACAAATGACAATGGAGACACAACTACCCAAAACCTATGGGATGCAGCAAAAGCAGTTCTAAGGGGGAAGTTTATAGCAATACAAGCCCACCTTAAGAAGCAGGAAACATCTCGAATAAACAACCTAACCTTGCACTTCAAGCAATTAGAGAAAGAAGAACAAAAAAAACCCCAAAGCTAGCAGAAGGAAAGAAATCATAAAGATCAGATCAGAAATAAATGAAAAAGAAATGAAGGAAACAATAGCAAAGATCAATAAAACTAAAAGCTGGTTCTTTGAGAAGATAAACAAAATAGATAAACCATTAGCCAGACTTATCAAGAAGAAAAGGGAGAAGACTCAAATCAATAGAATTAGAAATGAAAAAGGAGAAGTAACAACTGACACTGCAGAAATAAAAAAGATCATGAGAGATTACTACAAGCAACTCTATGCCAATAAAATGGACAATCTGTATGAAATGGACAAATTCTTAGAAATGCACAACCTGCCAAGACTGAATCAGGAAGAAAGAGAAAATATGAACAGAGCAATCACAGGCACTGAAATTGAAACTGTGATTAAAAATCTTCCAACAAACAAAAGCCCAGG